ATCATCAAGATCATCAAGCTGTTACCCTCAAAGCTTCAAAAGTCCTCAAAAGCCATCCTGTTCAACTAGGTCTGGTGGCCGAGTGGTTAAGAACCTTGTATCTAAGTCAAGAAGTCGAAGGTTCAATCCCGGGTGCAGATTTTTGGCTTTGTTTATGGTTTTTTTCTTCCCTAGATTTTGTGCTTTTGTATTCTCACATTATTCGTGAATAAATCTCTTTTAAAAATTTAAAACTTTATCAATCCCTATCCGAAATGCAAGAAGTGGCAGAAAATTGAAGAGAAAAGGGGTAAACGGTTAGAAATGTTGAACACTCGTTTCCCCATTCCGATAGCCGATTCATTTGTTCCCCAATGAGGCATCAGCCTCAATTCTCTCTCACTCAGATCTAAACTCGTGTCAATGTCGCGGCTCATAATCAAAGTCGTTCATTTTTTTGCGCTTTTGAGCGATTGCCGCCTGTGGGTGAAGGCAAAAAAAGTCAAAAAAGGCAAAAAAAGGCAGAAAAGGCAGAAAAAGGCAAAAAAGGCAGAAAAAAACGAGAAATATGGGTGAAGAACGGGTGTTTTTCGAGGCAAAGCACTGAAAAAACTGGAGAGATGAGCGAAAAAGGGAAAAAAAAAGTCATTCGATTTACACAGTGGATCTGATCTGAGCATTGCCCGCTGTCCACTTTTAGTCGATTCTTTTCCCCATTTCTGTCATCGATAGCTCTTCATTTGAAGAGAATTCTTTAAGAACGTAGCCGATTAATCTGCTCAAACTGGGAAAGTGTTGGAAAAGTTTTTTAGCGAAAAAAAAGAGAAGAGGTTTGAACTTTGAGAAAGTACCTCAAAGGGCAAGGTGCATACAATTCTTGCGGATCACTGAAAACTCTTATTTTTACAGTAATCTGAAGTAAAATCTAGGTTCAAGTGATGGTAATTTCTCTCTGTCACTGGATTACGGTAGTTTACTTTTTCAAAACTTGATGCGATTTCAAAACGATGACACTTTCACTGTAGGAAAAGCTGTAGCTGTCGTTTGATAGCTACAGGAACAGCTACAGGAACAGCTACAGGAACAGCTACAGGAATCAGCTACAGGAATCAGCTACAGGAACAGCTACAGGAACAGCTACAGGAAGAGCTACAGGAATCAGCTACAGGAATCAGCTACAGGAACAGCTACAGGAACAGCTACAGGAATCAGCTACAGGAACAGCTACAGGAACAGCTACAGGAACAGCTACAGGAATCAGCTACAGGAATCAGCTACAGGAATAGCTACAGGAACAGCTATAGGAATCAGCTACAGTAATCACAGATCATGGTAGCTACAGTAACCAAAAGCTACAGTAATCATTGCTTACTGTAACTTGGCCTTTGCACTAAAGGGATTACGATGAACAATAGATCTTCAGGATTACTGTAAATTGCTTCCATATTGAATCTAGATCTAGAAATTTCTAGAAGTGCATAAAAATTGATATTGGTTACCTCTAAAACCCAACTTCATTCTACAAATTGATATTGGTTGCCTTTAAAACCCAACTTTATTCAGCAAATTGAGATTGGTTACCTCTAAAACCCAACTTTATTCTACAAATTGAGATTGGTTACCTCTAAAACTCAACTTTATTCAGCAATTCACGTGAATGCAATGAGGATAACCCTTTGAAAAGTGAAAGTGAATGTATAAACATAAAAAAAACAACAAAAAAAGCTAGCATTTCGATAAATGAGAACTCTTTCTTTGTGAGAGCTCATCAATCACCCATTGGCTATAGGTTTTTGGTGTTGAGAATGGAGGGGAAAAGTGCTTAAGGGTTTGTTTTTGGAGTGAAATCTGAAGAGAAGGGAAAACAGTGAATGGGATAAGTGGATTGGATCTCGATTTTTGGTGAGGAACAAGTTGTTCTTTGTGCTTTGTGGTTTAAAGTTTAAACGCACGCTTTCTGATGTCTTTGATTCTCGCAACACTCTGCTATAGAAAACTGAGAAGTTCACTGTGCCAGAAAGGGTGTGTTCCTCATCAATTGAGAGGATCCGGGGTGCTTGAGGGATACTGTAGCTTGCAGGGTACTGTAGACTCTGGGATACTGTAGCTTGCAGGGTACTGTAGACTCTGGGATACTGTAGCTTGCAGGGTACTGTAGGCTCTGGGTTACTGTAGATTCCGAGATATAGTAGGTCCTGGGATACTGTAGTTGTACTGTAGACTCTGGGATACTGTAGCTTGCAGGGTACTGTAGGCTCTGGGTTACTGTAGATTCCGACATACAGCAGGCCCCGGGATACTGTAGCTTGCAGAGTATGGTAGGCTGTGGGATACTGTAGTTTGCAGGGTACTGTAGGCTCTAGGATACTTTAGCTTGCAGGGTACTGTAGACTCTGGGATACTGTAGCTTGCAGGGTACGGTAGGCTGCGGGATACTGTAGATCGCAGGGTACTGTAGACTCTGGGATACTGTAGACTGGAATACTATAGGCTGAGGAATACTGTAGCCTTTGAGATACTGTAGCTAGATACACTTTTACAATGCAACATTCATAAAAGCCCAAATCTCAGGCTTTCTTTCTGCTTTAAATAGCATTAAAAAGCTTGAATCTTGTCAAATCTTTTGTCCAATAAGATAAAACTCGAAAGTTTCCCCAAATTCCATCAAACTTCTCCATTCCTGACCTTTCCCAAAGCATCAAGGCGACTTTTTATCGACTATTCCTTGTAAGTGAAAGCCTCCTTAATGTCTCACTTAATGACTTAACTCCTAAAGAGATCATAAAAGAATTTTTCTCTATAGTGTCGGGAAAATGCAAAAATGGTTCCACCAAGTTTATCACTAAGATTGAAAAAGTTGAATTGAAAAAGTTTGGAGTTGAAGACTGAGGGAAAACTGAGAGAAAAGGTTCACTTCTGAGGTCGAAAAGGGAAAGAATTGAGTGAAAAAAATGCAAAAAAAGATGAAATGGGTATGCAAAAACGGGAGAAAAAGAAGATTTCCTTTTTCTTTGAACATTTTCGATGATCTTTCACATTTTTTCTATTGGAATAAACGTTGTTTTTAAGTTCAAGATCTGGCTTTGCATTCTTGCTATCGTAATCTGCTTATCTAGCTCTGTAGAAGCTGTCTATCTAGCTCTGTAGAAGCTGTCTATCTAGCTCTGTAGAAGCTGTCTATCTAGCTCTGTAGAAGCTGTCTATCTAGATCTAGATCCCTGCTACAGTGACCCTGCTACAATGATCTGTCTCTCTAGATCTGTCGAATCCTACAGTCATCTAAAAAATGAGAGCTTTCTCGTTAAATAAAACTACTTGTTAGAGTTAGGTTTTGTTTTTGATTTGCACAAGCCGTTTTCCCAAAAAACAAAAAACGTTTTCCAAAGCTACCGTAGTCCAGATCCTAAATGGCCAGATAATCAAGATGAATGTCGATTCCGGGTTAATCTGGTTAACCCAAAAAGCAAAGAAGTGTACTGTTGCTTTTTCTAAGCATACCTTTTAGAAAGCGGGACTGATTTTGAGTTGGGGAGTACGATGAACTCGTTGATCCAAAAATGAGCCAAGGTGTTGACCAGGTCCAATTCTAGATAACAACCGTATCCTGAGCCAGTTTAGACTCATCTACCGTATCAGGAGCTAGTTTAGATTCATCTACCGTATCCCGAGCCAGTTTAGACTCATCTACCGTATCCTGAGCTAGTTTAGATTCATCTACTGTATCCTGAGCTAGTTTAGACTCATCTACCGTATCCTGAGCTAGTTTAGATTCACCTACCGTATCCTGAACCAGTTTAGATTCATCTACTGTATCCTGAGCCAGTTTAGACTCATCTACCGTATTCTGAGTCAGTTTAGACTCATTTACCGTATCCTGAACCAGTTTAGATTCATCTACTGTATCCTGAGCTAGTTTAGACTCATCTACCGTATCAGGAGCTAGTTTAGATTCATCTACCGTATCCCGAGCCAGTTTAGACTCATCTACCGTATCCTGAGCTAGTTTAGACTCATTTACCGTATTCTGAGTCAGTTTAGACTCATTTACCGTAGCCAGAATCAGTCTAGGTTTCAAAGCTTTAACTTAAAAACCTTTCTGTCTCAAAAAAACTCATTCTCCAACTCTAACTGATCAGTACTGAACTCCTTTTTGTGACTCGTTGTTTTGTCGATCATCTAGCAAAGAGAAATGGTTGGTTGCCATTGATGGATTGTTTGATTGATACCCAAGAACTCAAAGGGAATTGGGAGAAGAAAGGTAGTGATGATCTCGAGTCAAAAGAAGACTGTTGAAGAAAGGCGAAAGAGGAACTGTTGCTTGGAGATGCCATCGCAGGGCGCGGCCGTGCCCTTTAGGAGTGCCCCTACCCCAGCCACAGCCTACCCCTGCACCCTGCATTGGATTCGAGTCCAGGCTCCCGCTTGCCAGTCCTCTCCCCCCAGTTCTCCCAGTGAGATCCCACCCCACCCATCCACTACAAAAGCCCTAGTTTTGCCCACCCCGATGCCACATTTTCATCGCCTCCACTAGCAGCTCATTTCTCCATTTTTTTTCATTCATTCAATTGTCACCATTTTCTTTCTCCAGGATGATCAGTACTTGATGCTTACCGGATTGAAAATCGGCCAGGCGGGCGCGCGCTTTTCGATCTTTCTTGAGATCTTTTTCTTTAGTTCTTTAGTTCTCCAGCCATTAGCACTCATTGCTGCTCAAGATGAGATTAAGACGAGCCTTTTAGAGCTTAAGACTTTAGACTATGACTTTAGACTAAGACTTTTGACTGACTTTAGACTGACGTTAGACTGACTTTAGACTAAGACTTTAGACTGACTTTTGACTGACTTTTGACTGACTTTAGACGAAGACTTTAGAGCTTAAGACTTTCGACTAAGATTTTAGACTGACTTTAGACTAAGACTTTAGACTAAGACTTTAGACTTTTACGCTTTATAGATACATTTATTCTCATTTTTTTCTTGTCGTTTGCTCTTCCACTTATCTAATACTCTAGGTAGTGGCCATGAGCAGCGACAAAGAGAAGTTGGTCGAGGCCGAGTCGGTGAAGAAGTTCGCCTTCTTCGGAGTGGCTGTCAGGTGAGCTGAAAGATTCGAGATTTGATCTAGAAATTCTAGGAGATTCGTATAAACATAGAAAATGATATTTATTAGATATTTATTAGATATTTATGAGATGTTTATTAGATATTAGATATTTATGAGATATTTATTATATATTTATGAGATCTAGAATCTCTATGAGATCCTTATAAACATCTAAGATCATCTAAGATCTAATTAGAAAGATCCTAAGTATGATTTATCTAAAGCTCTTGCTTTATTTAAGTCTAAAACTCTCTCTTGACCTCGATCTCATATATAAAGATTCTAAAGATTCTAAAGAACATCTAAGCTATTAGATTTCTTATGTCTTTAGTGTCTAAAAATAGATATATCTCAAATAGCACGACTTTCCGATAGACTTTTTGCCTGATAGCATTTTGAAGTTGGATTGTAAAGCTTGCCAGATCTCTATGATTCCTGGGGGTTAGACATTAGGGATAAAGGGTTTAGACGTCAATTACACATGGATCTAAAGAATTACGACATCAATTAGACACTAGATATTCTACAGTACAGTATTAGATTAGGCTAGAATCGTACAGTAATAGATTAGGCTTAATTATCGAGAAAATTAGCCGGGATTCGAGCTTTGACTTTGTGAAAACCTTTTAAAGTAAACGGCTTTGATTTCTTGACCTAATCAGATCATCAAAAATGAGATTTATCTTAGAATAGAAAGACGATAAACTAAAGAAATTAAAAACAAACGATTGAGTGACCCCAGCGGGAGTCGAACCCTAATTGTGAGGGTTGTAGACCAGCGCGCTGCCGACTGAACCACGGTCACTGCGTGAACCGTCAAACATTTAACCCCCAAAACCCGCCACTAGACGCGTTTTTCAGCTTATCATTGCTTTAAGTTACAACATAAACACTTAACTCCTTCTGGAGTTAGGGACGTCAAGTGCGTTATGGTGTAATGGTTAGCACTGTTACCCGGTAAGCGAGAGATCGGGGGTTCGAGTCCCACCGGTGCCTCGGTTTTTGATCTTGATTCAAAACGATTTTTTAACACAACAAACCAACTGCAAAACTATTTTTTATCTTTAGCACAGTCGCCACTCTCACAGCCATTGTCGCTGTGCCGATGTTGTGCATGTATATGCAAAATGTGCAATCCAACTTGCAAGACGAGATCAACTTCTGCCGCACTCGTGCCGAGGGACTCCGCGGAGAGTACACGAAGGTTGGTTTGGACTAAATGAGACAGTAATCCAAGCCTAAGCCAACCCTAAGCCAAGCCAATCCTAAAGCCAACACTTTCAGCTCGAGCACTACCGACAGGGAGAGAAGGAACGTGAGAAACGTCAAGCCTACCAGTGCTGCTCTTGCGGAATTGGATCCGCTGGACCTCCTGGACAGCCTGGACAAGATGGACAAGCTGGAAACGATGGACGACCTGGAGCCCCTGGAAACCCTGGACCTGATGCTCCTGAGGGACACCCTGTGCCCAAGCCCGAAGACTTCTGCTTCGAGTGCCCAGCCGGACCTGCTGGACCAACTGGACCTCAAGGACCCAAGGGACCTTCTGGAAACCCTGGAGCTACTGGAGACCAAGGACCACCTGGACGTGGAGGATCTCAAGGAGCTCCTGGACCAGTTGGACCACCTGGAGATGGTGGAAAAGATGGACAACCTGGACAAGCCGGACCACCTGGACAAGTGCGCACAGTGCCTTCACCACCAGGACCCCCAGGAGCTCCTGGAGATGCTGGAGAGAGTGGACCACCTGGACCCGATGGACGCCCTGGAAACCCTGGAGCTGCTGGACAGCCCGGACCACAGGGAGATGCTGGACAAGATGGAGCTCCTGGAAACCCTGGAAACCCTGGAGAGCCAGGAAATGCTGGAGACGCTGGACTCAAGGGCTCTTGCGATCGTAAGTTGCTAGATTGGAAGGAGAATTTGATTGGAATTGAGTACTCTAGTACAGTAATACTAGCTACTACACTAGGTTTAATTACAGTAGTACCTATGCTACGTTAGAACTAGCTACAGTAGTTCTAGAGTTCTTAGAACTAGCTACAGTAGTTCTAGAGCTCTTAGAACTAGCTACAATAGTTCTAGAGCTCTTAGGAGTAGCTACAGTAGCTCTAGTGCTCTTAGAAGTAGCTACAGTAGTCCTATCTAGCTACAGTAGTCCTTAGAACTAGCTACAGTAGTACAGTATAACTTTCTACAGCAACCATAGTACAATAGTACCTAGAATTGACTACAGTCCTTCTACTACAGTACTGCTACCGTACCAATATAAAGTAGCGCTTAAGCTACGCTAGAATTAACGACAGTCCTGCGATACTTCAGTAGAATTGACGTCGCTATCAAAGTTTCAAAGAAATGAGCTTATTGGGTAATTGAATGGAAAAAACGGCGCTGAACTAGAGGCTAATCTTCCCGTAATTGGAACGGTGAAGAGCTTGAAGTAAATGCTAAATTTCAGACTGCCCACCACCAAGAACCGCTCCCGGCTACTAGATTCGATTGTTTCCATTCATCGAGTAGTGGTGTTGTTGCTGATGCCGACGCTGATGCAATCCTTGCTCTCTTCTCCTCTTTTTCTTTTGATTTCGATGGAAAGCTTATCACGTTTTTTCTTCTTTTTTTTTTGTCTTTTCAGATGTCTTTCATCATGTCAGCCATTCCTGAAAAACTTCCCTCAACATTTCCCCATTTCTCCAACATTTCCCAGTCCTCCAATCACCCATACCGGTGTAAATTATTAAGTTATTTTGCAATAACTTCTCTTTCTTTTTCCTCTCTCTCTCATTCAAAGAATAAAAATATGCAAATAAATGGGGAAACCTTCAAAGAAGAACAGATTGTGTAATTGAATTGAAACAAAGGGCTTAGTTGCTTGAGGCTTAGCTGCTTGAGTTATATATCAAAAGCTGTTTGCTAGACGCTGCTAGACACTGCTAGGCACTGCTAGACACTGCTAGACACTGCTAGACACTGCTAGACACTGCTAGACACTGCTAGACACTGCTAGACACTGCTAGACACTGCTAGACACTGCTAGACGCTGCTAGACACTGCTAGACGCTGCTAGACACTGCTAGACACTGCTAGACGCTGCTAGACACGAAAAGAACGCACAGAGGTAACCAACATTACTTTACCATCACAATAACTCTTTCTAGAGTCATTTTTTTTTCCAATCTCATTTCAACTTTGAAAACTTCAACCATTTCTGCGTCTAATAATGTTAATTTGAGGAAAAGAAGCAAAAGAAGTTTAGATTTGAAGTCATTTTTCCGTCAGCGCTTCGATTTCTTGTATTCTTGTAACTTCATGTAGTAAGTCACTTCTTGTAGTAACTTCTTGTAGTAAGTAACTTCTTGTAACCAAAAATCTTCTTGTAACTTGAAATTCTAAAAGATTTTCTTAAAAACTTATGCTAAAAATGCTAAAAATGCTAAAAATGCTAAAATTTGGATGTTTAAACGCGAAAATGTTAGAGTTTTTCGAATTTAGAATTAGAATTTGAAATTAGATTGCCAAAAATGAGGCTTTCATGCTATTGGATGATTGAAAACAAAAAAAAAAAAAAAGAAAAAAAGGATGAGATTGAATCGAGCTGTAAAACTGAAAATTCAATCCATTTATCCATTTCGATTTCAATCCATCCAAAAGTGAATCCAATCAAATCGACGTAAAGAAGTCAAGCAGATTCTTTGAGGAAAATCTCAAAGAAATGAGCAGATTGAGATCTTTCTTTTTTTCTTCAAAAAATTCTAGTTAATTTAAAGATTTTTGATCAAAAACTTACATCAAAACTTTAAATTATCCTTTCTGGTGTGCTAGAAATGGTGGGTTTCTCGATTTTGCGCACAAAGTACCCACCAAAAACACACACACACACACACACAAACACTGGCCACCTTGTGCACCAGGTGGTTTTAGTTTATCAACAGATAAACTTTAGCTAATTTCCCCCTCCTTCTTGCACTTTTCCCCACTTTTTTACTTTATTTCTAGATTCCTGAAAGTCTCCCGGTATCAGTAATATTTCGTCGGATATTTATCCAATATAAACCGAAAAACCCACGGTTACTGACCAAACCGCTTTGTCGCCGGGCGCAGTCGGAAGCGCCTTGTCTACAACCAACACTGGTTTCGGGTTCGGACCCGGGTTCGACTCTCGGCTCTGTCATGAGTTTTGCTTTTTAAAATAACGAAATATGAGATGCACAACTACATAGAATTCTAAGCCTAACAAACTAAAAATCATGGAAATCGGCCCCCGAGGAACTCACGCTTACAAACAGACGGACAGACGGACAGACGGACAGACGGACAGACGGACAGACGGACAGACGGACAGACGGACAGACGGACAGACGGACAGACGGACAGACGGACAGACAGACAGACGGACAGACGGACAGACGGACGGTCGGATACTTCCATTTTACATATAGTAGATACTGTAATGAGAGTATGGATTGCTGCTTTACAGTCTCCTTTCCCATTCTATTTGTGGTATTTGACGTTTTTGCCTTATTTGATTGATGCGCAAACCCTTGCTTCTCTCAAGCAAGGGTTTGCGTTTTGTTTGTGATTTTCGATCTTGCATCTAGGCGATACATTGAAAAATTGAAAAACAAAGACTGTTTGCAAGGATTTGCAAGACTTCGATGAAAGCCAGGGTTAAGAGTGAAGACAAAAGTTTGCTAGGCCAATAGTTTTGGAAATTTGCAAATTGTTTGCGGTACTACTGTATCAGCCGAATAGTATATCTGAATCAAGTTCAGAAGCTGGGTTGAATCGATTATTCTAAGAGAGTTTTGAGTCGAAATCACAGCTTGGTATTGGGCGGCTAAATGTTACGGTATCAATGACTAGTTTAGTTCAATAATCCAGATCCTGAGCCGGTCAAAGTCTGTCAAAGTTTACTTTACTAGAAAAAAACATTAGGAGTACTGTAGTGTGCTCAAGGATTAAGCGATTGACTTTCTAAAACAAATGGCTTTCTTTCTGGAGTTCTTTCTGGCTTTCTTTCTTTCTGGCCTTCTTTCTGGCTTTCTTTCTGGAGTTCTTTCTGGCTTTCTTTCTGGCCTTCTTTTTGGCTTTCTTTCTGACTTTCTTTCTGGCTTTCTTTCTTTCTGGCTTTCTTTCTTTCTGACTTTCTTTCTTTCTGGCCTTCTTTCTTCCTGTCTTTCTTTCTTTCTTTCTAATACTATTATAATACTTTGTACGATACTTGTCGGCTATACAGAGTCTCAACTCGGTTGCAAGGAACTGACAACGTGTGAGCGGTGATTATGTTCAGCTCAGTGAAGTAGAGTGCTTGCTTGAAGTGATCAGTCGATCAATCAAACGAAAATCGTTAACCGAGAAGACTCGAATGGGGATGCTTAAACGAATCTTTGTCTTTGTGAATGTATAACAAACCGAGTACCCTTTGTACGTACTAACGGATTGTCCTTTGTACTGTGAAAGTACGTACTAACGGATTGTCCTTTGTACTGTGAAAGTACGTACTAACGGATTGTCCTTTGTACTGTGAAAGTACGTACTAACGGATTGTCCTTTGTACTGTGAAAGTACGTACTAACGGATTGTCCTTTGTACTGTGAAAGTACGTACTAACGGATTGTCCTTTGTACTGTGAAAGTACGTACTAACGGATTGTCCTTGTTTACAGTACTCAACTCTTGAAATACTTTGCAGTTTCGTAGAGTAATCCGGGGAAAAAAAGACGACTAAAGTTGCTTGATCGATTCGATTATCAAAAAAAATGATCGAATTGTTGAAAAAAAAAAAAGAGAAGCGGATCATTGACGAGGAATGGCAATGGAAGCGATTTCTTATTCGAATTGCTCTTCAGCCTCATTCCTCTAATCTCTCAGTCCCCTTCTGTCCACTCCTCACACTCAATTCCAACCATTCATTTGCTCCGCAAAAAAAAAAACACGTCAAATCCTGTCTTTTCTCTTTTCTCTGGGTTTTTATGAAGTTTTTGAAAGAGCGGCCACTTTTTAGGGTTGAATAGAAAAAGTGGCCTGTAGGCTGGCTCTCCCTTCTCCAACCGATCGCCCATCTCTGATATAAAAGGGGAATTGCGAGATCCCCTGGTCGGATTCCCCTTTATCCCCCTGCTTAACTGAATATTTTATTATTTCAATTTTCCTAAAGGGATCCCAAGATGAGTGCTGATAAACCAAAAGGTAATTTTTATCTTTTTTAGCTTTTTAGCTTGTTTTTCTTTTGTAAACTTTTAAAGGATTAAAGGTTTTTATTCATTTTTGATTGACTATTGAAAATTTAGCATTTAAAGAACATTTAAAGAACATTTAAAGCTTTCCAGAAGGAAATATTCAAAGCTTTCCACAATGAAACATTTGAAGCTTTCCACAATGAAACATTTAAAGAACATTTAAAGCTTTCTACAACTATCCACAAAGAAAAGAGTTACCGTAGTAGTTCTCTAATAGTAGTGCACCTAAAGCTTTACCTAAATTCGTTGAAATCTCGAGAACCGCTTATCAGAACCTATCGATGTGAGTCGATAGGTTCTGATATCGGAAAATGTAGCTAACGATGAGATCTTGTAGCTGATTAGAGTGTTGTGCTTCTGTGAAAGCTTTGAAACTGTAAAATAGGCATCACGGCTTACTGGTGGCTCGACGGTTAGCTCGACGGCTTACTGGTGGCCGCACTGAACAGATCTATCAAGGCACATAGCACAGTACAGTTCAATCTATTCCTTACAGTAAACAGGCACAAGTAGACCCTTGCTAGGGTACTGTAGAAAAGTACTTTGCTTATTGTGAAGCCAGATGTAGACTCAAGCCAGATGTAGACTTTTGTTAAGCTTTGTCAGCCAAATAAGGAGAATGGGGGGAGTTTAGTGCACTATTATTAGAGAAAATATGGTAGATTGACTTATTTATCCTTTTTTTTCTAGATGTGATCAAGGAGGAGCTGGTGGAACAAGTGAAGAAATTCGCTTTCTTTGGAGTAGCTGTGAGGTGAGTGCCTTAGTTGATCACTCATTTGATCACTGAGCCTCTTGATGCTGTAGCCGTCTGTCTAGATGCTGTCGTCGAAGTTAAGAAGCTTGTATCCTAGTCAAGAGATCGCGGATTCAATTCTAGCAATCATCTCTTCCATATAAATCGGATTAGGACACTTTAGGAGTGGTAAAGCTAAAGCTAGGACTGCTAAAGCAATAGAAGATTTGTGTAAAGTTTTGTGTTTAGTTGTGTATTTGCTTTTGTCACCCTCAAACACCTCAAAAATCTACTGATGATGTTACAGCTGCTAGAACTAGTTCTAACAACAACTAGAAACAAATATCATAGTAATTCGAAGTGATTCGAAGCGATTCGAAGCGATTAAAGCGCTAAGCTCTTTTCTTTCTTACATTTGATTGCTAGATCTTTTGAGACTAATTTTCCTTAGAGCTTTTAGCCGAATCAAGCCATGTCTAGTATCATTTAAAAGCCTAAAATCTCCTCTATTCAATGATATAAAAAGTTAAGAATGATATCATCTTTAGGCAAAGTTATTGAGCTTTAAAATTTATCAGCAATTTATCATAGAATAGAAGCTTAGAATAAAAGAGATTTTTCTCTTAGATCTTTTGACAATAGCTTTTCATTTTAAAGTGTAGTTTTTTTCAGCACAGTCGCCACTCTTACAGCCATCGTTGCAGTGCCAATGTTGTGCATGTATATGCAACATATCCAATCAGCTCTTCAGGATGAGATCAATTTCTGTAGAACTCGATCCGGATCGCTTCGTGAGGAGTTCTCAAGGGTGAGGGAAGCTAAAAAAAAAAACGATGTGTTAGTACTAGAAGTTAAGATATGCTGTGGTAAATGAAAGCTTTTATCTGTCACTTGTACTAGGAAGAGTACTAGATAACTGTGTAGCCTTCACCTGTTTACTGTAGTCGAGAGTACTATAGTAGTACTGTAGGATTAGATTTTGATAACTCTAGTTATCTCTAGATAGCTCTAGCTCTAGATAGCTCTAGCTCTAGCTCTAGATAGCTCTAGCTTTAGCTCTAGATGGCTCTAGCTCTAGCTCTAGATAGCCCTAGCTCTAGCTCTAGATGGCTCTAGCTCTAGCTCTAGATGGCTCTAGCTCTAGCTCTAGATGGCTCTAGCTCTAGATAGCTCTAGCGCTAGATATCTAGTTACCTCTGGAGTACAAAACCCAGGGGTTTAGTGGATTTATTAGATCCAGATCTCTAGTTGAATTAGATTCGTTTTAAATAAAAATCACAAAAACCTAATTTCTAGCTCGAGCACATGCGAAAAGACGAAAAGGAACGTGAGAAGCGTCAAGCTTATCGCTGTTGCTCTTGCGGTATTGGCCCGGCTGGCCCACCCGGACAACAAGGAGCTGAAGGTTTATCCGGAAATGATGGACGCGGAGGAGTACCTGGAAATCCTGGACCTGACGCAGTCGACGGAGATGCTACTCCGCCATCACCGGATGATTTCTGCTTTGAGTGCCCACCGGCACCAGCCGGCCCTGCTGGACCACAAGGACCTAAAGGAGAAGATGGAAATGGTGGACACCCAGGAGAGAAAGGATTGCCTGGAAGAAAGGGCGCACCCGGACACACTGGTCCCACTGGACCCCCGGGATTGCCAGGAAAAGATGGACAACCTGGATTGCAGGGACCAGCTGGACAAGTGCGAGAAGTGCCTGCACCACCAGGACCTCCAGGAGCTGGAGGAGAAGAAGGACCTAAAGGACCACCTGGAACCGATGGACGGCCTGGAAATGATGGAAATGATGGACAAGCTGGGTCACAAGGTGAAGCCGGACAAGATGGAGCGCCTGGAAATGAGGGACCACCTGGAGAACCTGGAGAGCCTGGAGAGCCTGGACACAAGGGATCTTGCGATCGTGAGTTGTATAATTTCGTTCTTTCTTTCTCTTCTATCTTCTATTCCCTTCTTCTTCTCCGGCGTCAAGGCATCGGATAGCTCAGTGGTTAGAGCGGCGGACTGGAAAGCGAGAGGGAGGGGGAAGGTCGAGGGTTCGATCCCTTCCTCGGCAATTTTCCTTTGCCATTCTTTTTTTACTCTCCAATTCAGATAGCTTGAATTAATAATGATTTTCAGATTGCCCACCGCCAAGAACCGCTCCCGGATATTAGCGTTGGAGAATTGCCGAAGAAATACCTCATTTTTTCACGAATTGTGCATTATTTATGTAACGGGAATAAATTTCAAGAATTTCTGAGTGGCAAGTGTGAAACTGATTACTGTACTTAGCTTTATGCTATGCTAGTACTGGAGCTGGGTACTGTAGCTCAAAAGCTTAGGCTTGGGTACTGTGGCTTTTGAGCTACAGTACAACTAGTACTAGATAGTACTGTAGCTTTTGTGCTACAGTACTATCTAGTAGTAGTTCGTAAAGTAGTTCACAGTAATTTGCTTCAGCTATCCGAAAGACAGCTATCCGAAAACACGAACAGAATTGTTTTAATGTTTCTAAAATGCTTTTTTTTTTGGGTTAATCTTTGCTAAAATAGGAAAAATTTGAGAGGGAATTGTTCGCAAAATTGTTCGGAACATTGACAGACGACCCACTGTTCCTTCTCCTTTACAAATTCGTAAACGAAACACCTAATACCAGAGCTGTTTGCCAGATGGAGAGCGATTAGGCGGCCGCACAAAGAACTTCTCGCAGTGATTCACTCAGGGATTTCTTTTTTTCTTTGTAAATGATACAAAGAGAAGATATTTAGCTGTGAATTTGTACTCTAGGGTTTTCGGGGACGGCGAATCGATTGGCGGTATCGATTTTGTCGGCTCTGCCAATTCTCAAACTAAAATAGAATCCAACTAGACTAATAAGGGGTCAACTTTGCTCTTTGCACATGAATTTTGATGTGGAATATTTAGAAATGATCTAGAAATGATCTAGAAATGATCTAGAAATGATCTAGGAATGATCTAGGAATGATCTAGAAATGATCTAGAAATGATCGCTGAAACGCCTCGATTCTGAAACTATTCATGAGGTTTTCCATCTGAATAAAACAAGTCATTTTAAATGAGGTATCTCAAAACGGCTAGTTTGCTTTTTACGCGAAAATTTGTAAACAAAACACTTTTCTAAAGCCTGCATTTGCTTCTTTTTCCTTCTTTTTCTCTATTTTTCTTTATTATCATCATTTTTGTTAGTAAAAGGAAGAATTCTGAGTGCTTTTCGACTCTCTAAAGTATAAAGTACACTTCAAAAAAGCTTTTATATCAAATTTTCTCTTTTTTAGCTCATTTTGAACATAAAAAGGTTGAAAATTTCGTCTAAAAAATGATTGAAATTCGCAAAAATTGGATTTTCTAAAGCTGAAAAGGATCAAAAAGAGAAAATATTGGAAAAAAAAAGAAAAAAAACTCGATCGATTTCATCAACTGGAAAAAGGTAGAAATGTTTTCCAGAAAGAAAGAAAGCATTTTTCTGTTTGTTTAGGTCGAAAAGCAGACCAAAAAACAGACGGCAGTTGCAATTTTTTGTCGGAATTTTTTCAATTTTTCCCTTTTTCAAAAAATGACTGATATTTTCGATGATGGCTTGGGAATTCTGGGAACACATGTGACCGTGAGTTTGAATCTGGAGTGTTGCTAGATCATTTTTCAGTTCCTTAGCTCGCTTTCCATCGAATAAACTCTAGCTTTACAGTGGGAACTTGTGGAGAGTAGTCTGCAAAGAGGGCTTAAGATTGGGGCGAGATTCGGCGCAAATCGATCAGCACAGAGTATCGCCGATGGAGTGGTGAGTGCGAGTTTGAAAAAACGACAAAATTTGAAACCTTTTGAAGTCCGGGTTTCTCGGGGCTTCGAGGATTTTGAATTTGGAGTGTTGCTAGATCATTTTTCAGTTGTTAGCTTGTTTTTTGTTAGGTTTTCCAACGAAAAGTGACATTGGATAGGCTAACTAGCAAACAAGCTACATTTCTAGATATATTTCTCTATTAAACAAGCTACATTTCTCTACTAAACAAGCTACAGTTCTAGCTATATTTCTCCAATAAAACAAGCTACATTTCTAGCGATATTCCCAGCTATATTCCTAACTACATTTCCCTATCAAAGAAGCTATATTTCTAGCTATATTTCTAGCTATATTTCTTGCTATATTTCCCTATCAAACAAGCGAAGAATGATTGGGTTTTGTGAGCTTTGAGATAAAACAAAATGCGACTAGTCGGCTTCGAACTCTCGACTATACTTCATTTCTGCACAAAGAAAACAATCATTTAAAGCAACACTATCCATTCAAATACCCGAAAACCCGAGGCATGCCAGGTGACGTTCATGGCCTAGTGGCTAAGAGCCTTGTATCACAGCTGAGAGGTCGAGGGGTCGATCCCGCTAGTGACAATAGAGCTTCTTTTTCAAAACTTTTATTTTAATGTTGAAAGAAAACTTGAAAAACTGAAAATATAAAAAGCCAAACACTCTAGAATACAGACAGATTGAATTTCGTGTACAAGTGTTGATTGAGCTCACTTGATTGAGCGATTGATTGAGCTCGCTTTCAGGGCTACAGCTCGATCATCGCTTTGGTGGATGCGGATTGGATTGGTGATGAAAAGGCGATTGCTGAACTACCAAAAAGGGTATAAAAGCTAGATAAAGTATATGAAAATGTTATTTTCTTAGTTTATCGTCAAAATCGCCTCATTGATCCAGGGGAAACGTGTTCGCGACGAGAAATTGTTGGAGACACCGCTCGACGAAGGAGACGAGTATTTGCGAGAATGGGCAAAGCTCATTCGAGGAGTCAGTTCGAAAGAATCGATTTTTCTAAAAAGATTTCAATTCTCACAAAATACCGTAATCTTTCGTCGGTTTGATTTGGGTTAAATTCGATGTGAATGAATTACAAAAGCTTAATGAATGAAATGGGCTGATTGAATGAATTCATTTGAATTTAGTCGACTAGATACAACTGTTTCGTTTGTCTAAAATGAGTGCTTTATTTGAGAAAACGAAAACAGCAATCCTTAAGGGCTAAAGTACAGTAATCTTTAAGGGCTAAAGTACAGTAACCTTTAAGGGCTACAGTGTCTACAGTACAGTAATTTTTAAGGACTACATTGGCTACAGTACAGTAATCCTTAAGGGCTACAGTACTGTAATCTTTAACGGCTACAGTACAGTAATCTTTAAGGGCTACAGTGTCTACAGTACAGTAATCTTTAAGGGCTACAGTGTCTACAGTACAGTAATTTTTAAGGGCTACGGTACTGTAATCTTTAACGGCTACAGTACAGTAGCCACATTGGCTACAGTAATCGCTAAAGCTTTTACAGTAACTTCTAGCGACTAAGGACCTCTAGCTCTTACAGTAACCTTTTACAGTAGCCTCTAGCTTAAGGGCTACAGTGGCCACAGTACCGTAACCTTTAAGGGTTACAGTGGCTACAGTAACGGCTACAGTACAGTAACCTTTAAGGGCTATAATACAGTAATCCTTAAGAGCTACGGTACAGTAATCTCTAAGGGCTACAGTACAAATTGGGCTGACTGAATGAATTGATTAGAATTGAGTCGACTAGATGGAAACTGTTTCGTTTGTCTAAAATGAGTGCTTTTTTTGGAGAAAACGAATATTCTTAGATTCACAACACCGAGTGCGAGGTTTTCGATCAGATCAACGAAGCGAAAAACACTGAACATTTGAGCCTGCCAAAAGTGGGTTAACTTGGTTTTTGAGTTTTTTCGTTTTTGTTGACAAAAAAAACCAACTTTCTTTTTTTGTTAACATGGAGATTTTCATTCTCGCCTTTTTGTTAAATCGTAGAACTTTTTAAAGCAATAAAGCAGGGCTAGCGCTAGCTTTGGGTCTGATCAAAATCAAGATTTTACCCTTTATGTCAAAATTGAGTAATGGAAATGTACAGGGTATTCAGTTTTTACGACAACTTCTTTTTTTTTTTTTGGTAGATTTTTTGCGGATCCCAAGCGCCAAGCGCAATCCAAATGTGTTAAGTGTTATATAAAATATTGAAGCCCATAATCTTAGCCACATTTTTCTGTTTAAAGTTTCCCGATTGCAGATAGACAACTCACTTTACAAACCCTTAAATGAGTTGTATCCCTTTCCGTTGATCCCTTTCCGGCACGCTACGATTTTTGGTGAGTTAGACTTAAACTTAGACTACAAACTTAGACTACGCATCCTATCGACATGAAGTTTAAAGAGAACTTCATAATTTTGAGTTTATTGAAGTTCCTGAGCAAAATTCTAATAAAAACAAATCAAATAATTGGTTTCAATCAAATAATCAATCCCAAATGCAGAGATGAAGGATTTCTCTTGTAAGCTAGCTGTGTGATCAGTCTAGAAGTCTGGTCTAGAAGTCTAGACATGGTCTAGAAGTCTAGACATGGTCTAGAAGTCTAGACGTGGTTTAGAAGTCCTAGAAGTCTAGACGTGGTCTAGAAGTCCTAGAAGTCTAGACGTGGTCTAGAAGTCTAGAAGTCCTAGAAGTCTAGACGTGGTTTAGAAGTCCTAGAAGTCTAGACGTGGTCTAGAAGTCCTAGACGTCTAGACGTGGTCTAGAAGTCTAGAATTCCTAGAAGTCTAGACGTGGTCTAGAAGTCTAGAAGTCCTAGAAGTCTAGACGTGGTCTAGAAGTCCTAGAAGTCTAGACGTGGTCTAGAAGTCCTAGAAGTCTAGACGTGGTCTAGAAGTCCTAGAAGTCTAGACGTGGTCTAGAAGTCCTAGACGTCTAGACGTGGTCTAGAAGTCCTAGAAGTCTAGACGTGGTCTAGAAGTCAAGACGTGGTCTAAAAGTCTAGACGAGGAAAAAGAACTCATTTTCTCTATCGTTTATCGTGTGAATAAAGCTTTTGATTGATAGTAAATCTTAAATAAACTTAAATAAACGCTTCGTTTCAGGTTTGGTTCACGAAAAAGTTCTCCTCTCCAAGCGACAACGTCGGTTTTATCATTATGGAGTATTTGGAAGAAGTGAAACACTATCATCTGCACGATAATCTCGGAATCGATCAATTGAAACAAGTCTCAATAGAAAACCCATTTATTGATAATAAAAAAGATCAAATATTATCCAAATTTATCCAAAAATCTATCCAAAAATCAAAAATAATTTCTGAAATCAATTTCAAATTATTCTTAACGAATTTTCTAGTAAAAAACGGGCTTTTCATTACTTTTCATTTACTTTTCTCTAGGAAATTCTTTAGAAAAAGTTTTCCTGATAAAGTAAAACAATTTCTTAATAGGTAATCCGGGAAATCACGAAAATCCAAGCTTTCTTCATCAATGAGAAAATCGTTTATGGCGAAGATTTGCGGCAAAGAAGTGCACAAAAATTCTATGCTCATTTATTGCCAAAAGAGGTGACAAATGATTGGAAATCTTTACTGTACTGTAGCCCTTAAAGATTACTGTACTGTGGCTCTTAAAGATTGCTGTACTGTAGCCACTGTAGCCCTTAAAGATTACTGTACTGTAGCCACTGTAGCCCTTAAAGCTTGCTGTACTGTAGCCACTGTAGCCCTTAAAGATTACTGTACTGTAGCCACTGTAGCCCTTAAAGCTTGCTGTACTGTAGCCACTGTAGCCCTTAAAGATTACTGTACTGTAGCCACTGTAGCCCTTAAAGTTTACTGTACTGTAGCCACTGTAGCCCTTAAAGGTTACTGTACTGTAGCCCTTAAAGTTTACTGTACTGTAGCCACTGTAGCCCTTAAGGATTACTGTAGTCGGCTCAATTCAAATCAAATCTTTATAAATCTTTATAAATCTTTACAAATCTTTACAAATCTTTACAAATTCTTTTTTCAGAAGTTTAAAATGATATTCGTTGGTTTGAAACATTTGGGAGTGGATAGATTGACCGAGTTAGCCGATGGGATGCTGGGCAAATTCGATGAGATCTACGATTTGAATCGACTTGACGCCCTGCATCATCCAGAGAAATCGGGTAATTGACTCAAAAAAGATCCCTTAGAGCTTTGTTGGCATGAACGCAACCCTTCTGGCATACGAATTAAGTGGCTACAAAAGAGCCACATTGGCTACAGTAATCGCGAAAGCTTTTACAGTAACTTCTAGCGACTAAGGGCCTCTAGCTCTTACAGTAGCCTGTTAAGAGCTACAGTGGTTACAGTAATCCTGAAGGGCTACAGTGGCCACAGTACAGTAACCTTGAAGGGTTACAGTGGCTACAGTAACTGCATGAGTACAGTAATCCTGAAGGGCTACAGTACAGTAATCCTTAAGGGTTACAGTGGCTACAGTAGCCGCTATAATGAGCACAGTAATCCCTATAGCTACAATAATCTCTCTAGAGGCCCATAGAAGCTACAGTCAAACGATTACGGTAACCCATGTCTACAGTAATCCGTCAATTACAGTAGTACAGTATCCTAAAGTGATTCTAAAGCTGTTGGAATAGTAAAGTAATCCCTAAAGCCACCGCGAAAGCTGTTACATTAGTACAGTAATCTCTGAAGCTACAGCCACAGCTACAGTAACTCCTAGACTCACTAACGTAACCTATAAATGAACTAATCGTTTCAAGGAATGTCTGGCGTTTTGTGTCACGGAGATATGTGGGCAACGAATTTTCTCTTTGACAAAAAGACGGACGATTTGCGATTTCTCATCGATTTCCAGGTATCCACGGTTTTGGCGGATTTAAACAAACAAATTTCTGAAGCTTTCAATGAATCTTTCAATAAAACTTTCAATAAATAACATTCTTAAAGTAATTTTCTGTTAATCAATATAAAAAGGTTGTAATTTATCTTTGAGAATCTCGAAATATTTCATCATTCATCACTATCTATTATATTCATCAAAAAAAGATCCCTAGAGCCTTGTTGGCATGAACGCAACCCTTCTAGCATACGAATTAAGTGGCTGCAAAAGAGCCACATTAGCTCCAGTAAAGCTCTAAAGCTCTAAAGCTTTCCCTGTGAAGCTTTCCCTGCGAAGCTTTCCCTGTGAAGCTGTGAAGCTTTCCCTGTGAAGCTGTGAAGCTTTCCCTGTGAAGCTGTGAAGCTTTCCCTGTGAAGCTTTCCCTGTGAAGCTTTCCCTGTGAAGCTGTGAAGCTTTCCCTGTGAAGCTGTGAAGCTTTCCCTGTGAAGCTTTCCCTGTGAAGCTTTCCCTGTGAAGCTTTCCCTGTGAAGCTGTGAATCTTTCCCTGTGAAGCTGTGAAGCTTTCCCTGTGAAGCTGTGAAGCTTTCCCTGTGAAGCTTTCCCTGTGAAGCTTTCCCTGTGAAGCTTTCCCTGTGAAGCTGTGAATCTTTCCCTGTGAAGCTGTGAAGCTTTCCCTGTGAAGCTTTCCCTGTGAAGCTTTCCCTGTGAAGCTTTCCCTGTGAAGCTGTGAAGCTTTCCCTGTGAAGCTGTGAAGCTTTCCCTGTGAAGCTGTGAAGCTTTCCCTGTGAAGCTTCCCTGTGAAGCTTTCCCTGTGAAGCTTTCCCTGTGAAGCTGTGAAGCTTTCCCTGTGAAGCTGTGAAGCTTTCCCTGTGAAGCTGTGAATCTTTCCCTGTGAAGCTGTGAAGCTTTCCCTGTGAAGCTGTGAAGCTTTCCCTGTGAAGCTTTCCCTGTGAAGCTTTCCCTGTGAAGCTTTCCCTGTGAAGCTGTGAAGCTTTCCCTGTGAAGCTGTGAAGCTTTCCCTGTGAAGCTGTGAATCTTTCCCTGTGAAGCTGTGAAGCTTTCCCTGTGAAGCTGTGAAGCTTTCCCTGTGAAGCTTTCCCTGTGAAGCTTTCCCTGTGAAGCTTTCCCTGTGAAGCTTTCCCTGTGAAGCTTTCCCTGTGAAGCTGTGAAGCTTTCCCTGTGAAGCTTTCCCTGTGAAGCTTTCCCTGTGAAGCTGTGAAGCTTTCCCTGTGAAGCTGTGAAGCTTTCCCTGTGAAGCTTTCCCTGTGAAGCTTTCCCTGTGAAGCTTTCCCTGTGAAGCTGTGAATCTTTCCCTGTGAAGCTGTGAAGCTTTCCCTGTGAAGCTGTGAAGCTTTCCCTGTGAAGCTTTCCCTGTGAAGCTTTCCCTGTGAAGCTTTCCCTGTGAAGCTTTCCCTGTGAAGCTTTCCCTGTGAAGCTGTGAAGCTTTCCCTGTGAAGCTTTCCCTGTGAAGCTTTCCCTGTGAAGCTTTCCCTGTGAAGCTTTCCCTGTGAAGCTGTGAAGCTTTCCCTGTGAAGCTGTGAATCTTTCCCTGTGAAGCTGTGAAGCTTTCCCTGTGAAGCTGTGAAGCTTTCCCTGTGAAGCTTTCCCTGTGAAGCTTTCCCTGTGAAGCTTTCCCTGTGAAGCTTTCCCTGTGAAGCTTTCCCTGTGAAGCTTTCCCTGTCCCTACAAACTTTACAAAGAGATTTTAAATGTAAAACATCGAATTTAGATATAAAGTAATTGATTTTTGGTTTAGAATTCAGATTTCTGCTTTAAAGAATAGCTTTTAGATGGCTCATCTCGGGAATCCAATTGACGATTTGCTCAGAGCGTTCATTTTAGGGTTATCCGGGGAAATGCGAAGGAAATAGTTGGGGGTTTTTTTTTTTATATGTCGTAAATATATGTCGTAGCCGATTATGAATGAAATTTTTTGGCAAATCTTTCTAGTAGAGCAACCCTTTAATGTATGATGACATAATATTATATCATCTTGTAGCGAATTCAATTCTGCGTCGATTGGTACCAAATTTGTGCGTTTAGGTTCAAAATTGCCGGCGCTACAACGTTTCATTCAAAATCGGCGTGACCCCCGTAGCCGATTAATGAATGAGTGGGTCTAGGAGCGTCCAACCATCAAGTATTTGGTATTATTCAACGCAGAATCATTAATAATTATGTTAAATTTTTCAAATTAGCAAGATTTGATAAAAAGAAAAAAAATTAGAGCAAAAAAAACTGTTTGTTCACGGGGAAACTTTGAGGCGCCATAATTTTTTTGTTTTTTATCCAATCTTTCTAATTTTAAAAATTTAACATAATTATTAATGCTTCTGTGTTGAATGATACCAAATACTTGATGGTTGGACGCTCCTAGACCCACTCATTCATAATCGGCTACGACATATACAGGGCACAACGAGTACGTAGTTTGAAAAAAAAACCATTTGTCTTGAAATCAAAAATCTAAGCACTAACAATTCTTAAATGATGTCCAACTAAGAGAAAAAAATGCAAAAAGAATCGATTTCGACTTGATAGGTCGAGAAATTTTGTCTTTCTACAGAATCTACAGAATCTACAGAAGTATTCGACAGAAACCATAAGTGTTATATATATTCTGAAAGCTCAGGTTGAGCTCTGCACGATGGTATCAGTTTTTCTATACGTTTCCTGTTTTATTCAGGGTTTTTGCCCTTCTGAACACCAAAGTTGAAACCTAGAAATTTTCAAAGTCACTTTTCATCGCGATACCGTCGTCAAATCGTGCTGCAAAGTGTGTTTTTTGGAATCTACGCAAAAAATTGGCCCAGGAAAGTGAAATTTGAATAATTGCAACTGGGATATCTTAGGAGAATTGATTAGGTCAAAAGACAAAATTTCTCGACCTATTAACAAAAAATTGACAAGTCGAAATCGATTCTTTTTGCATTTTTTTTCTCTTAGTTGGACATCATTTAAGAATTGCTAGTGCTTAGATTTTTGATTTGAAGACAAATGGGTTTTTTGTACTCGTTGTGCAGGGTGTTCCACAATTACTGATACCCCGACTCCTCATCATAAAAGCATTGTCCAGCATTGTCGTAAATTGTCCAGCGCGATCGAGCGATTTATTGACTAATTTATTGACTTTTAAGTTTTTCTTGTTTTAAACTTATTTTCATTTAATAATATTGAAAAACGGGGCCCCAGAAAGGGAAGGGTCTGTGGTCGACCCCGTCCGATCTGCCGACGTCGGCGTTTGAGCAACGTCGGCGCGTTTGAGCAACGTTTGAGCAACGTCGGCGCGTTTGAGCAACGTTTGAGCAACGTCGGCGCCGGTTAGTCGTGGGTTCGACTCCCATGGGTTCCCCTCCGAGCGCCCCAGCCCGGCCATCGGAGTATCATCGGCTACGACAACTACACTTCTGCCTCAGTAAATGTGGAAGCGGGTTGTGATCTGCGCTAAGTGCGAAGACAGATCAAATCATTATTATTATTAATATTGAAAAACTTGTTCTTTTTTAGAAATAGCCAAGCCGGCTTGGCTTGGCTCGGCCAAGATAAAAAGAGCACTCAAAATGTGTGTCGAGTGATACTCGAGTTGGTTAACTGAATATCTTTAGAGACCGATTTTGAGTGCTCTTTTTATCTATGAAATATTAACTTTTTTTAAAAACTTTTTCACCTATCATGTAGCCAAGAACGCAAGGAATTTTTTTGGCTTAAAAGTTGAACCGGCTTGGTTTTTTGGATTTTGAGAAATTTGACGGCGCTGTTTTGAACGTTTTCTATTATGGCGCTGTTTTGAACGTTTTCTATTATGGCGCTGTTTTGAACGTTTTCTATTATGGCGCTGTTTTGAACGTTTTCTATTATGGCGCTGTTTTGAACGTTTTCTATTATGGCGCTGTTTTGACTACCTCCCCTTTTCAGTGCTTCGACAATTTTGGCCAGATGGCCGACCGGTTAGGAGTCTTGTCTCTTAAGCGGAAGGTCGAGGGTTCAATCACTCTGGCAAGATAAAAATGTTTCTTTTTCCCACCAAGTGGGTTTTTTCTTTCACAACATTTGGGTAATAGGGGTAAATAGGGGTGAGAACGGCCGCAGTGCCATAAAATTGTGTGTTTAACCTTTATGTCTTATTATGTACCCTTTGTTTGTATCACATTATTGGTTTTCAATAAATGTATTTTCAAATATAAAACTTGAACGGGCTTGGTTTTTTGGATTTTGAGAACTTTGACGGCGCTGTTTTGAACGTTTTCTATTATGGCGCTGTTTTGAACGTTTTCTATTATGGCGCTGTTTTGACTACCCCCTTTTATCAGGTATCAGTAATTGTGGAACACCCTGTATAATGATATAGATTAAAAAAAAATCATCTAGTTTATCTAGCATATAAATCATTCAGCGAACAAGAATTACTTGAGTTCTACCATTCTTGCTTAAACTCGCAACTCCGCGATTCCGAATCGCCATTCAGTATTGAGCAGGTAATTTTTTTTTTGAAAAGTATCTACGGTAAATACTCTAATAGACGGTGTGACGATATGAACCCCATAATGATGGTGCGGAGTGCTACGTAGTCTAGCTTTGAACGAGTTCCCAGAATGACGGTGCGGAGCGTTGCGTAGTCTAGCTTTGGACGCGTTTTTCTCGACACTGGTTCATGCTACAATGCTCGCTTTGGTATCAAAAAATAGCCCTGAATTTCAGCTATTTTTTCATACCAAAGACGCATTTTTTGAAAGTATGGGCGCTTTGAAAAAAAGAAATACTAAAGAACATCAACTTTTGCCACTACGCGACTGTACGAGGGGGGGTGGGGTACTATTAAAGTATTTACGTTAGGTTCTAACTGTATGTTAGCTGTTTTCTAGCTAAAATCCGAATATCGAGCGTATTTCCCGTTGGCGGCTTTGTGCAACACGGTAATGCTTGGACCAGTTTTGATGTTCTCGATGAATCAAGTGAGTGCGGCGATTATGATTCTGATCACAAAGAAAGGAGCATTTTTTTAGTAAACCCGTAGGTTTACTAAAAAAGTGCTCTTTTCTTTGATTACCGAAATTATCCCTTTATTTTTATGATTAGAATCCCAGATTTCTTCTTTCAAGCAAATTCTGAGTTTCTAGATTAAAGATGAGGCTCAAAAGGGTGAAATGATGACGAAAGTGTTCGAGAAAATGATCGCCATTTACGAGGATGCGCTTGAGATTTCGGGGAATTGAGATAAAGGTGAAATGATGAAGAAAGTGCTCGAGAAATAAAGAATTTAGAATATTTTCCATAAACCAGCACAAAAATAAGACAAAATCAGATAAGATCAGACAAAATAAGACAAAATAAGATAAAACAAGAAAAAATAAGACAAAATAAGACAAAACAAGAAAAAATAAGATAAAATACGACAAAATAAGATAAAATAAGACAAAATACGACAAAATAAGATAAAATAAGACAAATGAAGACAAAATAAGATAAAATAAGATAAAATAAGACAAAATCAGATAAGATCAGACAAAATAAGACAAAATAAGACAAAATAAGACAAAACAAGAAAAAATAAGACAAAAAAAGAAAAAATAAGACAAAACAAGAAAAAATAAGATAAAATAAGACAAATGAAGATAAAATAAGAAAAAATAAGATAAAATCACACAAAATAAGATAAAATAAGATAAAACCAGACAAAATAAGAAAAAATAAGACAAAATAAGATAAAATCAGATAAAATAAGAAGAAACTCAAGTAAAAAAAAAATGCTTGGGAAAAAATAAAAAAAAAAACCAAGAAGCGAGTACCTTATGCCAGCTCGGTTTGCCAGATGCAGAGCGATTGTGGGCTCGCACAAAGAACATCTCGCATTTCACAAAAGGAGTTTTTCCTTTACTTTGAGAATGATTTTCTTTGGTTTCTGCGGTCCAATCAACCTCTATTTTGTCTCATTCGAAAGCCTGAAATGTCCTCTTTAAAACCATATAAAACATTGACTTTAAAATCGTTTCTAGAAAAGTTATGTGCTTTTAAAAGCACGGTTGCTCTTCTGAAAAGCGTTTAACAAGCTTCAAAGACTTCAACTTCAACACTGAAACTTCAACTTCAACACACCGAAACTTCAACTTCAACACACCGAAACTTCAACTTCAGCACCGAAACTTCAACTTCAACACACCGAAACTTCAACTTCAACACTGAAACTTCAACTTCAACACACCGAAACTTCAACTTCAACACACCGAAACTTCAACTTCAACACACCGAAACTTCAACTTCAACACACCGAAACTTCAACTTCAACACACCGAAACTTCAACTTCAACACACCGAAACTTCAACTTCAACACACCGAAACTTCAACTTCAGCACCGAAACTTCAACTTCAACACACCGAAACTTCAACTTCAACACTGAAACTTCAACTTCAACACACCGAAACTTCAACTTCAACACACCGAAACTTCAACTTCAACACACCGAAACTTCAACTTCAACACACCGAAACTTCAACTTCAGCACCGAAACTTCAACTTCAACACACCGGAAACTTCAACTTCAACACTGAAACTTCAACTTCAACACACCGAAACTTCAACTTCAACACACCGAAACTTCAACTTCAACACACCGAAACTTCAACTTCAGCACCGAAACTTCAACTTCAACACACCGAAACTTCAACTTCAGCACCGAAACTTCAACTTCAACACACCGAAACTTCAACTTCAACACTGAAACTTCAACTTCAACACACCGAAACTTCAACTTCAGCACCGAAACTTCAACTTTTCAAACTTTAAATCATTAATAAACGTTAAATTTCCCTAAATTCACATGTTTTGGATTGTTTTTTTCTGAAAAATATTCATTAGAATTGATCAAAAACTCCCTCAAGACATCGTTTCCTTATCGCAAATCCGTAAAACCGCTTAAAATCTTTTTTTTTTCTTGACATTTTTTGGCATTTGATATTTGCAAAATTTCAAAGTAAAGCTATTTATTTATTTAGTGAAAATTCTTATTTATCAATTTTATTATGCTTATTTTCCTATTCTATTCACTGTTTTCTGTAGGATTCACATCGTTGTTGAAAGATTCGAAAGTATGTTTTCTTGAGGAAATAATAAGATTTTCGATATCAAAATGTGAAAATTTTGGATTGAAAACGTGAAATTTTGGATTTAAATGTAAACTTTTTGGATTTAAAGTGCGAAATTGTGGATTTAAATGTGAAAATTTGAATGTAAAATGTGAAATCTTGAACTTAAAGTGTAAAATTATGGATTTAAAGTGTGAAAATTTGGATTTAAAGTGTGAAATTTTGGATTTGAATGCGAAATTTTGCATTTAAAGTGTGAAATTCTGGGTTTAAAATGTGGAAATTTGACTGGAAAATGTGAAATCTTGGATTTAAATGTGGAATTTTGTATTTAAAATTTAAAATTTTGGATTTAAATGTAAAATTTTGCCTTTAAAATGTGAAATTTTGTATTTAAAGTGTGAAATTTTGGATTTGAATGCGAAATTTTGGATTTAAGGTGTGAAATTCTGGGTTTAAAATGTGAAAATTTCACTGGGAAATGTGAAATCTTGGATTTAAATGTCAAAAATATGGATTTAAATGTAAAATTTTGCCTTTAAAATGGGAAATTTTGGATTTAAATGTGAAATTTCGGATCTAAATGTGAAATTTCGGATTTAAAATGTGAAATTTTGGATTTAAACGTGAAATTTGTCGAGAATTTCGATCTATTTTATGGATTGATCGCGAAATGCTGGCAAAAAGTTGACATTTCGATTTGCAACGCATCAGAAAGGGTGCTTTTTCATGTAAATGATGACTCCAAAGAATGCGAAAATGATTTCCCACAAAATGGGGTAGCAATCCTAGTCTTACGTTTTATTTTTTGTTTGGCTTAATCTCTTCAATTTTCGATGACTTCTCGCTTTCCCGGCCTCGGCTTCACTCCTCCATTCAAATCCTATTCCGGGTATCTTGATGCAAAAAACAAGAATGGCACGTCGAATTGGAAGATGTTTTATTGGTGATTTCAAAGTTTTTTTATAGTTTTTTATATTTTTTAGCATCTATTGGGTTGTCGAGTTATGAATGCACGTCTTTTACTATTTTGTAAATTTCTCATGATACCGAACAGATTTATATGAGTGTTATATATCATTCGAAAGCTGAAGAGCTCCTCTACATTTTGATATAAGAAAGTTTTTGAATTTGTTCAGTTTTTGGGCAAATTGACTGCACAGAAGAAGAGGTGGCCAAAAAATGGATCAAGTTTTGGCTCTCAGGACTCAGAGCCAGCTCTCAGGACTCAGAGCCAGCTCTCGGGACTCAGAGCCAGCCGAGGTACCTTTGGATCAAGTTTTGGCTCCTCTCAAATTGAGTTAACCGTTTGATGTTTGGCCAATAGATATATCAATACAACTTTTTTAAAAAATATAGCAATTTCAGAGCATCTTTACTTTTCTTTTCTTTTCTGGGCGCTTATTTTACACCATAAAACTTGAGCAATAGCTAAGCTGAAATGGGTTTTTTCGAAAACGACCTCTCCCCTTTGTGCAGTCAATTTCCCCAAAAAGTTGAATGAATTCAAAAACTTTTTGATTCGAAAATGTAGAGGAGATCTTCAGCTTTCGAATGATATATAACACTCATCTACATCTGTTCGATATCTTGAGAAATTTACAAAATAGTAAAAACGCGTATTCATAACTGGACAACCCAATAATAAGGAATTGATTGAATTTCGGAATTTTGATGGAATATTGATGAATTTTGATGGAATTTCGATATCTTATAAAGAAAATCTTGTAGAGCTTGAAAAGATGAGTCGAATGATTAAAAAATTAGCTGCTTATGAGCTTTATAAGTACACTAAAACTGGCTTAGAAGTTATGGCTAGTCTTAAGGAAATAGTCTTAAAGAATCAAAGGCCAGCTTGAGATGACTCGGGGGATAGATAGGGAAATTGCTGGGCAGGTGGACGTGGCTCGGTGGTCTAGTGGTTAGTGCAATGGTTTAGCAAGCGGAGGCTGAACGGTTCAATCCCTTTTAGAGATTTTAGATTACTTTTTCCAAGAACTACCTGAACTTCTCGTTCAAAAACGTTCAAAAAGGTTCTCGTTGTCGTTTATAGTTGTTTTTGTTTGTTCTCGTTGTGGTTTTTGTTTAAAAACTTGTTTCTTTATTTGATTCTATTCTATTCTATTCATAAATTATCTTAAATTAAATTATAGAACTAGTTTTTGAAATAAATTATGATCTACAATAGAAAAATAGAATTTACTATAAAATCTTTGGTAAAATGAATCAGAGTAAACTTGTAAGCGTTTTAGTGTGTTTATAAAGATGATAAGCACCTAATTTTTACATAATTCAACTCGTCTTTTCAAGCTTTCAAGCTTTACAAGATTTGATTTGCATATTGAGCATCCAGCTTTAACCGATTCCTTGTAAGCTATTTTTTAGGTTCACCGAATCGAAAAGCGAGCCAGAAAAGGATCCGTTAGCCATTTACTATTCCGGTGGTCTGTCATTCTTCTAAAATTTATTATATCAAACCTTAGAAACTCTAATAAAATACAAAATCTTATGCTAAATTCGAATTTGAAACGAATTTGAAACGAATTTCTGAAAATAGCTTCTCTTTTAGCTTATAGCTTTTCTTTAGGACCCGGTTGTTCTGGAGTTGGTGAGGCTTTTGAAGAGATGGGGCCATTCTACGTAAACTATGGAGGCGATTCTCTATATGAGAATGTTTATGCCTGGAATGCGGTAAGCTAAAAGTGTTAAGTCAGGCTTAACAGAGCTGATCAATTGACTGAGCTGACTTAATTAGAGACTTAATTGACTTAATTTCTCACTAAAACCGAATCAATGGTGGGTATAAGATAAGTTTTTTGATCAAGTAATGATTAAAGATCAAAGAAATGACTAAAGATCAAAGAAATGATCAAAAAGATCAAAAAGATGATCAAAGATCAAAGAAATAATCAAAAAGAACAAAGAAATAATTAAAAATCAAAGAAATGATTAAAAGAAATCAATTTATCAATCATTTATCAGGTATTAAAAGATGAAATCCGCTTTACAGCTCAGTACTCTTTGAGTATCTCAGCTTAGTTTAACAACAATTAAACCTGAGTTCGAATTGGTGGATTCAAAAATGAATATCTCCAATCGATTCACCGACCTCGAAAACCCTAGGTTACT